ATACTATTAAAGTATTAAGCGGTAGTTATGAGACACCCTGTATAACATAATATTAAACTCTAAAGTATTAACTACCGCAATTAACGCATATTAATAATTCATAAACATTTAATGTTCTGATATTTTATTAATATCAATATTATTTACTTTTTACTAAGATCACATAAATCTCGAAAAAGCATTTCACGTTGTCATACGCAACAAGCGCGCAACGTCGCTTTGATAAAAAGGAGACGGAACACGTATGTCCACTCGCTTCTACAAACTGAACGACGAAGCGCACACGTACGTGTGACGTCACGATTCTCGTTTGTGTGCGTGCTTCCTCTACCGCGGTGCTCGGGTGCTGGCCGGCTCGAGTTTGCATCACTGATGCTAACCAACAGCTGATCAACGTCACATGATGGTGGTTGTATGATTGTATGACTGTGTTCGCGCTCGATTCAATTGCTCTTTTTCTTCCATGATACTCCGTTGTGGTGTCATTATCAGGCAAGTAGTGAGGAGCAACAAACTCTGTGCGCACAAAATAAATGAGGTGCCAAGTTTCAAGCTGTGGGCATCATGTTTTGTCAAGCTGCACTTCGTGCATGTCCGACATGGCTTGAAAGCAAACTCACGTCTATATATTTTAGGGGTATTTGTTTTATATTCACGTTTGCATCTTACACACTTTGTGATTAACATATTTTGCGCTACTGCTGCGCAATAATATTCTTTTTCCTTGTGTTATCGTTGTTCTATGTTTTAATAATTTTTTTTCTCAATTTTTCTCAATTAATGATTTTGGATTTATAATCACTGTATGTAAATTAATCACGTTGATATTCAATCAGATATACATATGAAACTCACATTTTATATAACTCCGTTATTCAATATTCCAGCAAAGAGCATTACTTCCAACGGATTTAGCAGATCGCATAGTCTCAGCGCAACAGTAGAACATCCCAATATGAAAGTTCAAATATTACCAGCACTTCAAGATAACTATATGTATTTGGTATGTTCTGTCATTAATATTTACACACTTGGTTATCTGAACAATATAAGCAGTCAATTCTTCTTTATCTTATACTTTACAATTTACAGCTAAGATAACTTCTATATTTAACACATCTAATATTATATGTTCCTAAATTTTGCAAGATTATTGATGAGGCAACGCAGGAAGCTGCTATCGTGGATCCTGTTGATCCAGAAGCCGTAACTACAGCTGTTCAAAAAAATAATATCAAGCTAACGAAAGTCTTAACCACTCATCATCATTGGGATCATGCTGGTGGAAATGCAAAATTGTTGAAAAACTTTCCTAACTTGCCCGTATATGGCGGTGATGACAGAATAGAAGCCATCAATCACAAAATTACGCACAACGATACATTTAACATTGGCAATTTATCGGTTAAGTGTCTTGCAACACCTTGTCATACGCGTGGACACATTTGTTACTATGTTACAGCAGAAAAACATCCCCCATCTGTGTTTACAGGTAAAGTAAAATATTTAGTAAGCGTTAAAGATCAAATATCAGAAATATCAGATTAAATGGACAAAGAGAAACCTTGATTTTATAGGAGATACACTTTTTGCCGGGGGCTGTGGGAGATTTTTTGAGGGTACTGCTGATCAAATGTATAAGGCACTTGTCGAAATCCTAGGCTCCTTACCCGAAGAGACAGTAAGTTATTTAATTGGAATTGTAATTCATTATTTATAATTTGTAATCGACAATTTTTTTACTTTATAGCAAGTGTTTTGCGGACATGAGTATACAGCTAACAATCTTAAATTTGGTTTACACGTGGAACCCGACAATACGACAATGCAAGAAAAATTGGATTGGTCGCATGCCCAACGTGCCAACAATCTTCCAACTGTGCCTAGCACTATCAAAGATGAAAAGCTTACGAATCCCTTTATGCGAGTACATGAACCGTCTGTTATGAAACACACAAAACAAAACGATCCTATTCAAGTAATGTCGTATTTAAGACGGGAAAAGGACAATTTTAAAGCTTAATTTTTGACAATACAAGATATCTTCCTATTCATTTAATATACTTATACTTAATACAGATTTAAAATGGAACATTAACCTTGAGATGTAAGAACAGAAAAATATCTAGGTGAATATATTGTAACTTTTATTATATGCAGTACAATCGTGTTTTCAGTCATAAGATCGCTATTTGGAACTGATTGATAACAAAAGTGCAGATTTATTTTTCACGAATCAGCATGAGATAAGATTGAAATAAGAGATAAATTTTTGTTTTTTAACCAGAGAAGATCTTACATCTGAAAACCATTGTACTGCGGCATTTTATGTTAAAATAAATATTTGAGTATATACATCCACAATATGTTTGGCTTACTTATCTACAATTTTTAAACTCCTATCATTTTTGTACTTTGGATTCTATTTTTACAAAAAACAAAATTTTTCAGCTTAATATATCAATATCTACTTACATTATATGTACATACTTGCACACTGTTGAAAAATATAAATCAAAAGTGATGATATACACAAGGTATTAAATGTATTAATACAAGACTGTGCAATCGACTAAATGGAACAATGCTGTTTCTTTTCTATTAGCAGTTTCGTCTCTTGCTTCTAATTAATGTTACACTTCCTTTCCTCATTAAACTTGCTGTTCCAAAGTTTTTCTTGGCTGTTCCTGATATTGCTTGTAGAACAGATAATTGCATGACTCTGCATTAAAATACATTATATACTATTATACTATTTATAAACAACTAATGTATAACTTTTACTATCTGGATAAAATTACTTATAAATTTTTCATTTTTTATACATTGAGTATTTGTGTTATATTATGTTATATTTAGTGGCACTTGACAAGGTGCATCTTCAGTCTTTTTATTATATATCTGCATTTCTGCGACATATTTCTCCTTGGATCTTTCGTACATATCGTAATACACCTAAAACAAAGCAATACATTAGTTATATTTAATATTTAAAGTAATTATAAAAATTATATGTAGTATATTTATATGATTCAAAAATTTTACTTTCTTATCTTCAGAGCTGAGAGACTTCCAAGTTGTTGCAAGTTGTCTGGTGAGTTCTTGTTTACTTGGTTCTGGTTCTCCAGCCAAACGTTCCATTACACGAGGTCTTTGTTCCTGACAAAATTGGAAGAAAGGATTGGCAGGTCGTTTTGGTGCGTTTGGATCAGCTTTTGCGCCCTTTCTTTTTGTTCCCTTTCTAGGTTTTTCCTCTTTTGCATTATTAGATGCACCTTTTCCCCCTTTTTCAGGTTTTGGCATTGTTTGAAATACACTATTTTCTTCGAGCACACCCATCGGTGCTTCACGCCAACGATCTCCATGTTGATCCAAGCGATCGATCAAGAATCTATGATTAATATCATGACGAGAATGACGGAAATATGCAGAAATTTCAAATTAAATAAGCTATAACTAACTTTTTCTCCTTCCTCGTACGTCGAAGAAGTTTCCTCACTTTCTGGATTCTATAGACCAATCTCTCATTCTCCTAAGTTAAAAAAAATCATATAGTTTAAAAATAGCTAACGCAACAATCCTGCTCGAAAATGCTATAGTGATTTTGACTGAGAAGAGTTAATGACTTAACCTGTTGCAAAATCTCGCATCTTTCCAATAGTAATTGATACTTTCTCTTGTAGATATCAAATTCTTCCGGCTCCACGTCGTATTCAGATTCATCAGACATTATAAATTTTAATAAATATAGTTGATTTTAACGATATTAAAAAATAAAATATTGCTAAATTTTGCACTATTTTACACACATATGAAATAACACACGAATTACAAACATTCTTGCTCGTACTCAGTGTTCCGATTAGGGACCGGCTGCTTAGCGTATATGTGGCTTTGCGCTTGCGCGGCGATGGAAATGCAGTGCCGACACATGTCGTGTGCAGGACTTTACGCAGGACTTTTGACAGGAAGAGGTTAAGAAGATAAAAATAAGGTAAGGCTTGTTTATTTATTATAATTAATATTTATAAAATAATTAAATTATACAGGGTGTCAATTATGTCCCGGGACGGCTGAATATTTTCTCATGTAAGGTATTTTTGAAAAAGGTCAAGGTCATTTCTGAAGTAATTTTCAACGAGGAATTTAACGGTGACCTTCAATTTGACCTTGAGCTTGACCTTCAAGGTCATTTCAAGGTTAGGTTAGGTTTTTTAAATAGAAACCCCTATTTTTGATTCCAAAATCTAATAGCTGGTGTCAAGAGCTTTTCAAAACACTATAATGAAGTTATTTTTCATTAAGTACTTTTCGAGTTATGAGGCTTGTAAATTACAATATTTTGACATAAAATACAAAATATCTTGTAAAACATTCAATTTTTGGGAATCTTACCTTAATACTTTTATGCATAAAATAATAAAACGAATCAATTGGTATAAAGAAACACATAGTTGCTTTCAAGAAAAAGTATGTAGTTTGCAACATGCAATGACGTGTTGGAAAAGTGAGAGTTCTTTTTCGAGAAAAGCGCGTAGTTGTCGGGTCTCTGTGTCGGTTCGTGGTGTCAGTCCGTCGAATATTGTGTCGGCATTGTCGGAGGGCGCGAATTTCGGT